GCCTCCCAAAGTGCTGGGATTACAGGCTTGAGCCACCGCGCCCGGCAACTCTGTCAACTTCTGATCTCTGTTCAAAATCCCAGTATTTTCTGACAGGTGAAAAGTTTAAAAAATGAACAAAAAGAAAAAGAAAAAAAGGATAAGTGAGAAAAAAAAAAATCCATGATACCTTCCTATATTAAGGACCTTTTTGTGAAACCATAGCCCTAATTCCTACCTGGGTGCCAGATCTGGAAAGTTCCTACCCCTTGGGTTAGTCAGTAGGTATTTCCTGAGCAATTACCATGTCTCTTTTTTAGGTGCTATTGGGAATAAAGAGGTATAAAGGTAGATGAGACTTGATTCTAATAAGTTGAAGAAAAACTTATCAAATGATTAAAATTGTATTTGACACATGATACTAACATTGGGGAAAGGAGAAGAGAAAAAAATAGGAGGCTGGGAATTTGTTTTAAATCTACTTTGTATCAGGTACAGTTAGGTATATTAGTCATAGATATTATTTATAAGCACTGAAGGAATTTAGTGAAAAGGGATGGCATTTTGGACTAACATTGGCGACAAGGGACAGCATTTTGGACCTAAACCATCAATTTAGGTTTAGAATGAGAAATTTCAAAGACAAGGTGGGCCATCTTACGTCATTCTATTTAAGGAAAGTATGAACTAATATAAGAATATCAACATATACATGGTGTGTGAGTTAGGAAAAGTGGTCTTTAGGGAAGATTAGTTTGGGGGCAGTGTGTGAAACATATTCAAAGCGAGAGAGAGCAGGAACAGGTATTAGAGTCTGTTGCAGCAGTCCAGGTGGGGTTCAGGTGATGGTGACAATGCTAAGAGAAAGGAAAGCGTAGATTAAGAAGATTTTTTTTTTTTTTTTTAATTTTTTTATTTTTAAAGAGACAGGGTTTCACCATATTGGGCAGGCTGATCTCAAACTCCTGATCTTGTGATCTACCTGCCTTGGCCTCCTAAAGTGCTAGGATTACAGGCGTGGGCCACCACACCGGCCAGAAGATCATTTTGGAGAAAGGCTTTCCTCACTGATTGCATAATGGATGAAGGAGGAGAAAGAGTCAGAAATAATTCTAAGATTTCCCAGCTTTGTAACTTTAAACATGGTGCTGCCATCTTCAGGGATGGGGGAATAGTGAATGGCACTGGTTTGGGTAAGGAGATGAAGTGATGTTTTACATTTTTAATTTATTGATTTCTGAGGTGCCAGCTGAGAATCCAAGTGATAAAGAGGAGCTGTGAATTGCTATGAAGCTGATTTTAGGGAAAATTAAGTTGTAGCAAAGTATAGGATATGTTTGGAGGGTTAAGACAATGGAATTTGGGATACTAGCTGGGAGGCCATTGCAGCAGACTGGGCATGAAAAGTAAAAGAATTAGGCCAAAGTTGGTGGGAATGGAGAGTAAGGAGTAAATCTATTCAGTAGCAGTACTGCTCCAAATGCCTTATCTGCTGTTGGGGCATGGAGCATATCCCAGCCACTAGGCATATAGACTAGCTGGTAGTATTAGACATATTTGGTAAACTCAAAACTTGCTGCTTGGAACTCCCAGTAGTTTGTGACTGTTTCTTCTCAGAGGAGAGGGCTTTCTGCTCTTGATTTGGTGACCTGAGCTAAACTTTGGCTTTGCAGTTCTGCAGCACCACTTCTGATCTAGCTTTTCATTAACTTTTTTTTTCTTTTTCTTTTTTTGAGATGGAGTCTTGCTCTGTTGCCCAGGCTGAAGTGCAGTGGTGCAGTCTTAACTCACTGCAACCTCCGCCTCCTGGATTCAAGCAATTCTTTGCCTCAGCCTCCCGAGTAGCTGGGGTTACAGGTGTCCACCGCCATGCCCAGCTAAGTTTGTATTTTTAGTAGAGATGGGATTTCACCATCTTGGCCAGGCTGGTCTTGAACTCCCAACCTCAGGTGATCCATCTGCCTCGGCCTCCCAAAGTAGTGCTGGGATTACAGGTGTGAGCCACCATGCCCGGCCCTCATTAACAGTTTTTACAGAGTACTTTAGGGTAGCCACACCTAAATAGGATGCTTCATCCCATGCTGAAAAGAGCATGGTAAAAGTGGCAAGTAGCTTAAGACACTGAACTGCTGAGATTGCTGAGATGAATTTCTTGGCTGTGGTGGACAGGTTGACAATGGAAACTGACTGCCAGAGGGCTGTCACATCTTTAGGAAGATGTTTTTTCTGTTTTACTGAACAGATCATCTAAGCCCCAGTTTATTTCTTCCAACTCTTTACATCAAGAAATGGGCCTTATGTAGTTCCTGTGTAGGCCTTTTTGGAGTAGGCCCCATTCATCATTCCTCCTTTTCATGTCTCTGTTTACTACCATTGTTACCCTCATTTTGAAATATAATTCATGCCTCTTACTTGCCTGCCACTTGGGTACACATACATTTTCTTTTATCTCATGTGGTTTTTTTTTTTTTTTTTCTTCGATACAGAGTCTTGCTCTGTAGCCCAGGCTGGAGTGCAGTGGCTTGATCTTGGCTCACTACAACCTCTGCCTCCCAGGGTCAAGTAATTCTCCTGCCTCAGCCTCCAGAGTAGCTGGGACTACAGGCACACACCACCATGCCTGGCTAATTTTTGTATTTTTCGTAGAGACGGGGTTTCACTATGTTGTATGTTGGCCAGGCTGGTCTGGAACTCCTGACCTCATGATCCGTCCGCTTTGGCCTCCCAAAGTGCTGGGATTATAGGCGTGAGCTACTCCACCTAACTCTTATGTCTTTTCTTTATGCATTTGCAGGGTTGGTAGAGACATTGGGTTAGTTTTTTCTTCCTTTTCTTTGTTTACTTTAAAATGCATTTCCTGCTTCAACAGATATGGGTTTAGAGTGTCCAGTATGCAAAGAAGATTACACAGTTGAAGAGGAAGTCCGGCAGTTACCTTGCAATCACTTCTTTCACAGCAGTTGTATTGTACCATGGTTAGAACTGGTAAGTACAGCAAGTCATGGCTTCTTGGGGGGATGATTGAGAGTACAGGTATAGTTAACAGTTCCTCGAGATCCAAGTAGATCAGATTTTATCCCATAAATCCCTGGCTGACTCTGATACTGTTATTTGTTTAGAACTTTTCTGGCCAAGGGTTACAAACTGTGTTCCACAGGCCACTGTGGCCCCCCGCCTGTTACTGTAAATAATTTTTTTTTTTTTTTTTTTTGAGATGGAGTCACACTCTGTTACCCAGGCTGGAGTGCAGTGGCCCCGTCTCAGCTTACTGTAGCCTCTCCTGCCAACTTTAAGCGATTATCCTGCCTCAGCCTCCTGAGTAACTGGGATTACAGGTGCCCACCACCACGTCTGGCTAATTTTTGTGTTTTTAGTAGAGTCAGGGTTTCACCATGTTGATCAGGCTGGTCACAAACTCCTGACCTCATGATCCGCCCTCCTCGGCCTCCCAAAGTGCTGGGATTACAGGTGTCAGTCACCATGCCCGACTGCAAATAAAATTTTATTGGAACACAGCTATGTTTATTTGTTTATAGATTGTCCATGGCTACTTTTGTGCTACATCAGCAGAGCTGATTATTTATAACAGCTGTGGTGTGGCCTGCACAGCCTAAAATATTTGTTTTCTGTCCCTTTATGTATTTATTTTGAGACAGAGTCTCACTCTGTCACCCAGGCTGGAGTGCAGTGGTGTGATCTCTGCTCACTGAAACCTCCACCTTTTGGGTTCCAATGATTCTCGTGCCTCAGTCTCCAGAGTAGCTGGGATTACAGGCATGCACCACCACACCCGGCCAATTTTTGTATTTTTAGTAGAGATGGGGTTTTGCCATGTTGCCCAGGCTTGTCTCAAACTCTTGACCTCTAGTGATCCGCCTGCCTCGGCCTCCAAAAGTATTGGGATTACAGGTGTGAGCCAGTGCACCTGGCCAATTTTCCTGTCCCTTTAAACAAAAAGTTATTTGACCTCTGCTCTAGATCATATGGGAATTAATGGGCAGTTACCCTCTTGTCATAGATCGCTCTCTGTTTGTGGTTAGCTCTGTTTGGTGGTATGTGTGAGCTGTTACTAAGTTGCTGGACTAGAATTGTGCCTGTCAGTTCTGCTTAAAGTTCTGTTTGGGAGATATCCTGGTATCACACCTTAGACGCCAGAGCATGTGGTATGAGGATGCATTCCCTCTTGTTTTTCTATTCCAAGTCATCAGTTTTGATGTGACAATTCTCAGGGTTACTTAAGTGTGCAGTACTCCCAGCTTCTCAGGCCAGGATCTTCACATAGACTAATATTTTTCTGTTTCAGCATGACACATGTCCTGTATGTAGGAAGAGCTTAAATGGTGAGGACTCTACTCAGCAAAGCCAGAACTCTGAGGCCTCTGCAAGCAACAGATTTAGCAATGACAGTCAGCTACATGACCGATGGACTTTCTGAAGCTAAAGACCACGCCTGAATCAGGGCTATGGTAATCATCTTACCATAGCTGTAAATTGTATCAAAACAAAAAATTAGTAGATGGATATAGGAATCACATAAGAAACCCAATGCATAATATGAATGCAATGAATGTTTTTCTTCTCTAAATTTAAAGTTAGTATCTACAGATGGAATTGTATCTACAACAAAATGCCTCTTATTCATGAAATCAGAGTGATAATTTTCTAAGTGTGAAACTTAATTATGTAGGGCTCCCCCCACCTGAATAGAATCAATCCCTTAAAGTCTAGTTAGGGTCCTGCTATCTGTCATATTGCCTTTGTAACAGAGGTTTCCACCTCCTTCTCCACCCTCTACCCCACCATTAGTGTATTTTACTATAAAAACAGTGGAACCACAGCCCTAAAGTCCTGCTGATATAAAGTCCTTTTGTCTTAATTGTACTTAAACAAACAAAAAAAATCTACTCTTGATCACATTAGCTGTGAGGTGAGGCCAAAATTAATTCAGGAATCTAAGACTGATAATTTTGTTTTGTCTTGATTCCCAGAGCACAAATCAAAGAAGAATTACAGTGAGAAGGGAAAAGTGGTTTACCATCATGGTGCTTTGGTTTTCTTATTTTAATTTTTAAAGACTACTTCAGTTGATGCAGTTTCCCCAGAAAACTACATAACGTATTTTGGGAGACGTATGTTGGTAGGAATCTGATTCCACTTCCTTTTTGGGAAAGAGTTGGGCAGCATACAGACATAGAAAGACAGATGTTTGAGATCTTTGCTTTTAAGATTGTAAAAAATGATCCCCAAATCATTGATTTTTGTTTGTTTCTTTCTGTTGCCTAGGCTGGAGTACAGTGGCACGATCTCAGCTCACCACAGCCTCGATCTCCCATGCTCAAGTGATCCTCCCACCTCAGCCTCCCTAGTAGCTGGGACTACAGGCATGTGCCACTATGCCTGGTTAATTTTTGTGTTTTTATAGAGATAGGGTTTTGCCATGTTGACCAGGCTGGTCTCAAACTCCTAGGCTCGAGCGATCCACCTGCCTCAACATCTCAAAGTGCTCAACTCATTGTTTACTGTCTTTTTTCCTAGTAATCTTAAAATAATTTGTGTCACAGAAATAGATGCAGTACGCATCTGCAGGCACTTCACTGTTTTTAGTAACCCATTGGTCTTCAGGAGTTAAGATTTTACGTTGTCACATTTTAACTCTTTAAGCCTATTTTTCATCTCTGAAACTTTCCTTTTCTGCTTGGTTCTGGCTGTACTTGGACTCAAACTGACCAATGTGATCATGTCCGAAACAGCTTGGCCTGGGAGAGGTAGGCCTTATATTTTCAGCCTAGTAGCATCCCATGCCCATGCTCTTTGTAGTATTTAAGTATTTAACGTTGAATAAATGAAGAAGGTCAGCAACGTTGTGGAAACTTCAAAATCTCAAAAGGGGAGACATAACAGCTGTTGGTGTACCAAAAGAAGGTACTTAGGGGCACCATTAATATTGTCACATTAGCCTTTGATAGTTAGAATGATCAGAACAAGAACACCACTCTTTAATGGGTTTCTTTCTTGGCTAGAAGTCTCCTCAGTTTTTGTTGACTATCATATGCCAATTTGTAGGTGGTGGAAGGGAGCTAGAGATACCTTTTTCTTTACTTCGACAGAGGATAAAGGAGTCAGGGAGGGAAAGGAAAAAGTGGGGGGTGGCCTGCTGAAATAATAGCCTGCCTCTAAAAGTTGCGACCAGGAAGTATGATTCAGCTGGGCTCAGAGGGAATAAAAGATGTTTTCTCATATACCTCCCGTATCACACCTCTGTCGTGATTGTTTATTTGGGGAATGAGATCTACTTACTGTGGGTAGCCCCTGAAATGTAGCTTGAGAATACATACTGGTTTTGAATTGGGGAGGAAGACTTAAGGAAATGAGAGGTGAATTGTGAATATTTGGCCGCTACTTAGATGGAGGAAGGCTGTGTTGAAACACATTAGAGTTTTGAAGTACACAATGTCAGTTGTCTCAGAAAAATTATCATTGCCTGGACACTTTTGTCTGCCCATCAGCGTCTGGAAATGCCAGGACAGGCAGTTGTAGTTTTACTTAAGGCTAGAGAACTAATGCCTAGAGAACTAGAAAGGATCTGAGTTCTTTACAAAGATCTGAAAGCTTTACAAGTGGTAGAGACAAAGTGCTGGATAGGGATCTGCCTTTTTATACACAGTATAGCAAATAGCATCAGACTAAGTTATCTGAAATTTTCTTCACTTTTTTTGCTTTGATGGATGGAGGACGTGAGACTCATTTTGCTATTTCCCAGACCTGTCCCTTTTAATGAATCTGTTGTGTTTCTTCTTACAATGGGAGGTACCTCAGATGTCCAGGTTAATTTATGTTGAGGAGTTAGGGTTCTTTGGAGATTTATTATTATTATTATTATTATTATTGAGACAGAGTCTCTCACTCTGTCACCTATACTGGTGGGCAGTGGCATGATCTCAGCTCACTGCAACATCTGCATCCTGGGTTCCAGTGATTCTTCTGCCTCGGCCTCCCAAGCAGCTGGGATTACAGGTATCTGCCACCATGCCCAGCTAATGTTTTATATTTTTAGTAGGGATGGGGTTTTTGTCATGTTGGCCAGGCTGGTCTTAAACTCCTGACCTCAGGTGATCTGCCTGCCTTGGCCTCCCAAAGTGCTGGGATTACAGGTGGGAGCCACCATGCCCAGCCTGAGATTTATCCTAAAGAATTGGTTCGCCGGGCGCGGTGGCTCAAGCCTGTAATCCCAGCACTTTGGGAGGCCGAGGCGGGTGGATCACGAGGTCAAGAGATCGAGACCATCCTGGTCAACACGGTGAAACCCCGTCTCTACTAAAAATACAAAAAATTAGCTGGGCATGGTGGCGCGTGCCTGTAATCCCAGCTACTCAGGAGGCTGAGGCAAGAGAATTGCCTGAACCCAGAAGGCGGAGGTTGCGGTGAGCCGAGATCGCGCCATTGCACTCCAGCCTGGGCAACAAGAGCGAAACTCCGTCTCAAAAAAAAAAAAAAAAAAAAAAAAAAAAAAAAAGAATTGGTTCACACAGTTATTGAGGTTGCAAAGTTCTGAGATCTGCAGTGGGCCAGCTAGAAATCCAGGAGAGCTGCTGGTGTAGTTCCAGCCTGACAGCCAGCATGGAGACCCAAGAAAGAGCTGATAGTTCCACTCCAGTTCAAAGGCAGGAAAAGACTGAGGTCTTGGCTCAAGCAGTCAGGCAGGAGGAGTTTTCCCTTACTTGTTCTGTTCAGACCTTCAACTCATTGGATGAGGACCACTCACATTAGGGAGGGCCATGTGCTTTATTCAGCCTACTGATTGGAATGTTAGTCTCATCCAAAACCACCCTCACTGGCACACCCAGAATACTCTGTGACCAAATATCTGGGTGTCCTGTGGCCTAGTCAAGTTGACACATAAGATTAACCATCACAAGAGGAAAAACAGAAATGATGCATATATACAGAGTGTTCCCAATCCCACTTAAGTTTCACCAAGTGAATAATGTGTCTCTATGAGAAATGCTTGCTTTGGCTTAGAGACCTCAGTACTGGTTACTGAGTTACTGACCTCAATACATAGTTAAGCAGTGGAAGAAATGTATATGGGATGTTTGCTGTGTATATAATGTCTATTTTTTCTTTTTAGCCTAAATTAACCCTGGAAGTCTGAGAGACCTCCCATTCTGGGAAGAAGCATTTTAGATTATTTGGTCTAACACCAGAACATGGTTGCGGTTAAGCATTTACTTCTAGGAATGCCATGTCCTTAAATGTTTCAGACACAGTTTAGATAAAATGCCCAAGGCAGGAGGCTGGATAGCCTGGACTTTTCAGATGTTCATTCTTTTACAGCTGGAAGGCTTACACACTCAGGAATCTGGAGACTTATAGAGTCAGGGGAGAGACAGTTCAACTTGCCCTGATTGTCAAAGAGAAAATTTGCGATTTCTGATCTTGGAACCCTTAGTTTGAACTTGAGGTCTTTAAATTCATGTTAAGCAGCCCTTTGAATTTTATGCAGTGCTGAACAGATTATTTTCTTATTCTGAATGACTTTTCATCTATATCTTTTCCATTATAATTCCAATAGTATATATGTATCCTCTTGTCTGTTACAGTTTGAAATGAGGGAAAAAATTATTTGGTTAGCACATAATTAGGAAAGATTTCTTAGAGATTGGTAGACTTGGGAGTTGTGAGGTCATATAGGGCAGTACCTTGATTTATTGCTTCTGTGGTAGTTTCCAGATAGGTTAGTCTAACCCATCTTCACATGGGTTAGTTGTGGTTGGACAGAACTAGAGAGTCTGATGGGAAGAGCAAGATTTAGCTGATATCTCCAATATCTTTCAAGTTTCAGAATTAATGAGTTGGGAGCAAGGAGAAGAAATAACCCCAGCATTAAAAATTAATTTTCCGTCAAAGTTCCTGTTGCCGGTTCTCTGAAGAGTTAAGAAACTTGGAGAATCCAGAAAGACATTTTGTCCCTGTTGCTGTAGCTCTTTGACTCTTTCCCTACAATAATGCTTTAATTTATGAGAAAAAGTCTAGAGGATGTAGAAATGGCTGTTAAATAGCTTCCTTTTAGCTCATCATAAAGTGTATCAGCATTTGCTGCGTAATAGTTGGGCAGGTGCTTCTTAAATGTTTTCTTTGAGCAGGAATTGGTGCAGGAATTGGCTCTCAAGTTAGAAGGAAAATTTGGGGGGAAGAACTTGAGTTTTCCCCAGTCTTTGATTAAATAGCTATTAGGAAAAAAATTTCTTGCTTATGTCTTTGTATTGCATATTTATATATATATATATATATATATATATATATATATGAATATATGTGTAAATATAGATATTTATATTCACAAACACATATTGCACATTTCACACTGGAGGAAGAAGGGATATGGTATGCACTGAGGTAAAGTGAGCAGGGATACAGAAGAGGGCTAGAGCCTCACAATCTGATTCTCTTGTTGTACATAACCTGATCGTCAAAGAGAAGAGAAAACTTGTGATTTCTGATCTTGGAACCCTTAGTCTGAACTTGAGGTCTTTAACTTCATATTAAGCAGCCCTTTGAATTCCATGCAAAGGGTCTGTGTTTCCCTGAGTTCTCTGTTACAGGGCACTGTTGGCTTGGGCTGGTACCCTGTTTGCTCTGTGACGAAGGGATTCACTGGAGGTAAAAACCTAATCATTTCCAAGGGTTGAGACTAAATGACTTTGAGGAAAGGATATTCAACATCCGTTGCTTCTATATTATAATTATAAAATAGAATTATAATACAGTTATCTATTGCTATTGAAAAAAATATTTCTGACAAATTATTGACACCAAATTGAATAATTCATGACCTTCTACATGCTTCAGCTTCTTTCTCTCTGGTTTCCAGGTGCTGTTCCCTCAAAAAATACAAATTAAATACATTGGTCTTAATAAATCAGGAGGGAAGCATAGTCTGTGTCTGTTTTAAATGACAACAACAACAAAACAGCCTTTGGTGCTTAAGGAGTGGAAGACAGAATTTTTTTTTTTTTTTTTTTTTTTGAGACACAGTCTCACTCTTTCACCCAGACTAGAGTGCAGTGGCATGATCTCAGGTCACTGCAACCTCTGACTCCTGGGTTCAAGTGATTCTCTTGCCTCAGCCTCCCAAGTAGCTGGGATTACAGGCATACGCCACCACACCCAACTAATTTTTGCGTTTTCAGTAGAGACAGGATTTTGCCATGTTGCCCAGGCTGGTCTCGAACTCCCGACCTCAAGTGACCACCTGCCTCAACCTCCCAGAGTGCTGGGATTACAGGCATGAGCCACCACGCCCAGGTGAGAAGACAGATTTTAAGAGAGGGAGCAGGGCTGGTATCTGAATAGGTATTTGGATGTTAGGGGAAAACCCTTTTTGGCCTCTGTGGTAGAGAGATGAGATAAAAGTGCTGTTTACAAGAATAATCCATTGGAGCTTTGGGGATTGAGGAGGACTTATAACATAGAGTTCTGTTACTGACAATTTCCAAAATGAATCTCATATAATTTCGTCACTGACACAGTAAGATGGAGGAAATTTTTGATGGGATAAACATCACAAATGGCAGTCCTAAAAGGGGGAAATCCTAGCCCGCAGCAATGTTGGTGTCTCAGTAATCAGTCTGGGAGCCACTGGGCTGCTTCAGGGGTTTAAAATAGAACACATAGAATATAATGTGTGCAACTGGAGATGCTTTCCAGGGTCAAAATAGAGCCCTTGTCTGATCCAAACAACATTGTAAGGTTTTGATCTCATACCTGCCACAGACAGGTGCATTATAGGAATTCAACTTTAAGGTTTTATACATACAAACTTTACGTTTTCCTGCCAAAATACACTTGGTGTCCGCAGAAGTGTAGTTTGTATGTTGCCCTTTTTCCCGCTTTCAACCAGAACATATAGATCTGTGAATCATAGGCTTGTGGTTCTTTATCTTTTCCAAAAATTACTAGATTCTTGGCTGGGTGTGGTGGCTCCCGCCTGTAATCTCAGCACGTTGGGAGACTGAGGCAGCAGATCACTTGAGGTCAGGAGTTCAAGACCAGCCTGGGCAACACAGTGAAAGCCCATCTCTACTAAAAATACAAAAATTAGGCAGATGTGGTGGCATGCACCTGGAGTCCCAGCTACTCAGGAGGCTGAGGAGGGAGAATCACTTGAGCCCAGGAAGCAGAGGTTGTAGTGAGCTGAGATCGTGCCACTGCACTCCAGCCTGGGCAGCAGAGACCCTGTCTCAAAACAAAAACAAAAAAACTCCAAAATTATTAGATTCCCTTCCAACAACATGATAGCCATATTACTAGTATTTTTGGTAAAAGAATACATAACAAAAAGCTGCTATGATTTCAGTAATGCTTTTAAGTCAATTTATCTTTATTAGTCACACCAGAATCTGTATCCAGTTGAAATATAGTATATACAAATATTTGAAAGATATTTATTCAAGCTCAAGATTATGGTAATCTGTTCCTTGTAATAACCTCATGGCCTCACAGAGGTTCAAAACCCATGGTTGTGAATCACTCATAGATTGGGGCTAAGATGTGTGTCCAGAAAACTGCCTATTCATGCATGGAAATTTGTAGGCTTGTTTGAAGTCAATTGTTTCAATACATTTTGAAAACCAAGATACAAATATCTTAAATTTCTGTTGAACCAAGTCCTGAGATAAGCAGAGTAAATAAATTCTTTTAGAAGCAAGACTCAGTTGGTATGTACAAAGTATATTTGCTTTGTATATATGTTGCTTAGTTCGAGTCAGAGCTGGTAGTCTCATGCTCATAAATGTCTTGATAAACTTGGGCAGTGTATCCTTTCTGTGATTGTGTGTCACAGATTGTTATATATGGACTGTAATTAAGTATAGTACAATGGCTGAAACTTTTCATATAGTTGGATATAACTTCTTACTGAGACTTCCAGTGATTATATAGTGTTGAGTAGCTCTAGGAGATTCTTTGAATACTAAAAACAAAAGACATCTCACCCATGTGAGCTTCTTATTTAGTTGGAAACACAGAACTAACATATGAAACAGAGAAGGATTAAAATGAATATGATGTAGTGGAGAAAGCTTTGGAGACTGGAGTCGGAATTCAGATGGTTCTAGGTTCCAAATACAGACTGTCATTTGATTCTCAGAACAATCCTGTGGAAACAGAAGATGGAGTAGGCAGTATCACTTTTTACGGACAAGTAAGCAGAAATCGCATCTCAAAACTTCATTTGCCCAATGACAACTGGTATGTTGCAGAGCCAGAATTTGAATCCAGATCTTTGGCTCCATGTCTAGACCTTTTATCTCCATAGGATACAAAGTCTAAAATCCTTAGTTTGAGGTTCAAGATTACCACTAATAAGGGTATTATCTCCCTCAGCCATATCTCTCTCCATTCCCACAATCCTTAGCTCCCACGTTTGGCCGGTCCTTGCCAAGGATCACAGGTAAAGTGTCTCTTTCCTTTTAATGGCTCACCATGGAGCTGTAGCTAAATTTCTGCGCTCCTACCCCTTTACTCATGTAGTTCCTCCTATCAGGAATATCCTGCCTACTGTCTGCTTAACTATGACAAGAGGTCATCTGTCCAAAGAGAAAGAAGAGAGTTTGTGAATTTAGGAGAAAAGACTGCAAATACTGTGATGGGCGTTTATTTAAAAAGAGAAATGACCAAAGAGGTTAACAAGCATTTATTGAAGCTGGACAGTTGTAGTCTGTGGTGCGCCTGGTCTGCACAAATCTTCCTCTTCCTCCAGCAGTGCTGTGTGGATGCTGTTGAACGTCAAGGTCTGTCTGCATTTCCTCATTTTCATACCAAGTCAGTCACTGGATCTGGCTGTCTTCCTTTCCGTCCTACGTATCTTTGCTTGTTTTCTCTCTTTTTCCTTTACAGTGTTAAATAAAAATTTCTTCCCCCCACATTTGGTGTTCTTTTGTTTGACTTGACTTATTTTACCGTGTTGATGAGGAAGGAGGAAAAGTTGTTCTGGGGTACAAAAAAGCATATATTTATCCAGTATTTGAGAACAGTATACCAGCCACTTTGTGAAAGCTATTTTATTTACTGGAGCTTAGGAGGGCAGAAGGCAAGTTTGCTCTGACAGTGAGGGGGGAAAGTCAAGGTGCACACTGATTTGCCCCAGCTTGTGTTTCCACAGATTCTTGGCATATTCGCATCTCTCCCGCTGTGCTCCATTGCTGGCTTCTCTGTGCCTATTGTAATGAGAAAGATACTAAGCCAGAGTCAGACTTATCTTGCTGTAGCTTTTTAAAAAGTTTCTTTTGGCACATGGCTTACAAAGCTGTGGAAAGACAAAGAAAGTTTGTGTTACTGCCTTGTAACTTAGAATAGCAACAAAATACCTGATAAAATGAAGTCTGACCTATCCTGAGATGTGTGTTTGATTGGCCCTCATGACTGTAAAGGGAACTATTTTATGTGTTGTGTCTTATTACTAAAGTTAGGGCTGTGATCTTGAGCAAATCTCATTCTGGTGGGAGTGGGGAGGGGGCTAGCCTTGATCGCCCCTTGCTGGAAGGTGGGACATTCAAAGAAGCAATAGATGCCACTCAAAAAGTTGAAGGTAGGTTTTGCACGTATAGCTTTGAATTGCTGGCACAATGATAAGACAAGGATATTCACTGAAGTTAGCTTCATGAGCTGAGAGGGGCACAGAGCTCCAGGAAAACTCCCTCCTCCTCTTCCCCGTGTGTAAGCATGATAACTTGATCTATGCGATGTTTCTAGACCTGAGAAAGCATGTGTACTATTCTGAATGCTACCTCTTTCCATGATTCTACCAAGCCTTGAGTTGGAGGAGAGGGATAAACAAAGCTTGTAAGTAGTGTGTATTTTCTTGTTTAATCAAATATTGAGCTTTAGTTTTTTTCCTTTTGTTAACTTTAAAGCTGCTTGAATTGAAGATAGGAGAAAACAAAAGATTGGATTCAAAAGTTCATTCTCTTCACCTGAGTGGAAAAGGGAAAAAAGCCCAGACATTTTAAAATTTATTTTGCTGGGCACGGTGGCTCACGCCTGTAATCCCAGCACTTTGGGAGGCCGAGGCAGGTGGATCACGAGGTCAAGAGATCGAGACCATCCTGGTCAACATGGTGAAACCCCGTCTCTACTAAAAATACAAAAAATCAGCTGGGCATGGTGGCACATGCCTGTAATCCCAGCTACTCAGGAGGCTGAGGCAGGAGAATTGCCTGAACCCAGGAGGCGGAGGTTGCAGTGAGCCAAGATCGCGCCATTGCACTCCAGCCTGGGTAACGAGAGCGAAACTCTTGTCTCCAAAAAAAAATAAAAATAAAAATAAAAAATAAAAAAAAAATTATTTTTATTTTTTTTCCTCTAGGATGACTTGGGAATCAAAGATAGTGACTGGTAGTAGGCTGTATGGCTAGACTCAATTTCCCCTTCAGAATTTTTATTCTAAAATAAAATGTATTTTATTGGTTACAGTAGCCTAACCAAGGGAAGTTAGAATCAGTAAAATATGTCTAAAGGGTCAGACTGTTTCCTCCTGAAAACTGGCATACGCTTAAACTTGGAAGATCCTCACTAAGGATTACAGATAAGGTCTCTGTTTTCTTTTTGAAATCTCTGTTTTCTTGTGATGACTTGCAAATAAGGGACTGGAATAGGGAATGTTTTGGGGGCCCTGTTTCTGGAAAGGGGGGGAGGCAGTCTCAGAATGAGGGAGGTGGTGGAGGTAAGAGGTTCTTTGCATATAGTAGGTCATTAGTGTAAGGTTTAAGAGTGAGAAGGATCTGTATTAATTGCTGTGAAGGGCAACATTTAACTTTTTTTTGAGAAAGGGTCTGTTACCCAGGCTGGAGGACAGTGGCATGATCGTGGCTCACTCAACCTCAACCAACCTGGGCTCAGGTGATCCTCCTGCCTTGGCCTCCTGAGTAACTGGGACTATAGGCGCATGCCACCGTACCTAATTTTTGTACTTGTTTGTAGAGATGGGTTTCGTCCTGTTGCCCACACTGGCCTCAGACTCCTATGCTCAAGGGATCCTCCCACCTCGGCCTCCCAAAGTGCTGGGATTACAGGCTTGAGCCACTGTGCCAGGTCCCATTCAACTTCTTTATGTCTGTTTCCTGATGTTTGCTTGCAAGTTAGAATCATGTGTAAAGCATCTGATTCATCATACAGGTTCTTTAACAAATTTATTAAGAGCCTGCTATATGTCTGAGACTTGGGGTAAACGAGGCAAAGTCTTTACATATATAGAGCCTACATTCTGATGCCGCTCAAAACAGTGATAGTTACTGATTTGAGGAAAACCTAAATAAAATGGAGGTAAGAATGCCAAGGACAGGCAAAAACCTGTATCAGTTGCTTGTTATACAAAAACATAATGACAAATTATTGGAAGTTTCACTTTTTGTTATAGGGAAAACGGAAATCCATACGGATAAGTGGTGCTCAGAGGACTCAGCTGCATGTGTTTAATATGCCCAATCTGGCCATCAGCCTTTGCTGAGGAGCTGCACTGTTCAAAACCCACCTCCAGACCAAGTATCGCTTGCCTTGTTCTTCCTGTAATAGCCAAAAATTTGTTGCTTCAACTTGGAGCCCTCTGTTCATGCAGCGAGTAGAGGCAGTTGTACTAACATGCCTCTCTCACAGGCCTTCTTTCCTAATGAGTCTGACCTCCTACCCATTGAAAAATCAGATTCATTTGTCTTCCTCTACATATACGAAGTCTTTACTGCCTTTGGATCAGGGAAACCGGTTTGAACTTCCCTGTGGATAGCCAGGGCTCGAGGAACATTTTTCTCTCCCTCTGGACTTCCTTTCCAACCTTCTCCTCCTGGAGAATAACCAAGGTGGCAGAAATATTATAGTACACTTATAGCTTGGGGTGCTTACAGCTCTTCTGGACATACCTTGAAGGGCCACCAGGCTGGTGACCAGCATCACCCAGACCTTTTCTTGTAGGAAGCCTGAACTGAGAGTGCCTTCACTATGGCCGAATTCAAGATGGTGTCGTCGTTTGGATCCCGTCACTGTGTAGTTCCCTGTCTCTGGTTCAAAAGAGAATCATGGATCAGGGGAGGGTTTCAGAAATCATCAGTACCTCCCTTTGCATCATCTCATGACATCTCTATGATCTCCAAGGATACCTCCCGCCATAATTCATTACCCAAATAAGTATTTTTTAACCCTGTGGGTAATTATGATGTCCTTAAGCAGCCATAAATAAGTATAGAATCTCCTGCGTGTTAGACACTGGGGATGCAAATAGACCTTAAAGTAATTCTAAAGTTTGCCCACAGAGATAGCTGAAACAGCTTAGTCACCTTGGACTTGGGTATCCCCATTTTCTAGAGTGGGTCAAGCAATTTGGCATAAGTTAAAATCTTGCTCTTTGGAATAGATCAGGGTTTTTTGTGTTTTGAGACAGGGTCTTGCTCTGTCATCCAGGCTAGAGTGCAATGGTGTGATCATGGCTCACTGCAACCTCAACCCCCTGGGCTCAATCGATATTCCCACCTCAGCCTTCCTAGTAGCTGGGACTACAGGCATGTGCCACCACACCCAGTTAATTTTTGTATTTTTTTTTTTTTGTAGAGATGTTTTCACTACGTTGGCCAGGCTGGTCTTGAACTCATGGGCTCGACTGATGCACCTGCCTTGGCCTCCCAAAGCACTGGAGTTGCAGGCATGAGACACCACACCCAGCCTAGATCTGGATTTTTATCCAGCATTTACTAGTTGGCCAATACGGTGAAACCTCGTCTTTACTAAAATACAAAAAATTAGCTGGGTTTGGTGGCTACATGGGATGCTGAAGCAGAGGAATTGTTTGAAGCAGAGGAATTGCTTGAAGTAGAGGAATTGCTTGAACCCGGGAGGCAGAAGTTGCAGTGAGCCGAGATTGTGCCACTACACTCCAGCCTGGCAACACACGGAGACTCCATCTAAAAAAAAAAAAATTACATGGAAAGCAATTTTTTTTGACTTATAGCATCTTGTGATAATGTCTTTTTTCCTTTTCTTTTTTCTGATAAAGCTTATAATTCTCAGTGTCTTTTTTCTTTCCTCACATTTGGTTTATAGTTTGGCTGAATATATAATTTTAGGTGAAGATTTTTTTTCCCCCCACAGCATTTTGAAAGCTTGCTCTATTGTCTGGGAATATAGGAACACAGAGATGCTTTCTGTAGGGCACAATTTGACTTAAGGAAGTCATATAAAGCTGGGGCTGGAGCACCCATATTTAGGATATGCCAAAGTAGTACTGGAGCAGGGAGCGGACACAGGGTGAGACAGCTGCAGAAGCCAGAGGCCTCCCTGCCTCAGAGTTTGAGACCGTAACCGTTTTAGGTCCTGTCCCCTTTCTGGTTTCTGGTTCCAGGAACTGGAACTCCTGAGGGCCGGCCGTACTTTTTGCTTTGTTTTTCCTCCTTTAAGTTATGGTACCTTGAATGGGTTTCTTTCTTCCAACTAAATGCTCCTTAAGACAGATACCCATTTTATCTCACACCTGATCTCTTTGTCTGCCTGAATTCAGAAATACAGCCACATCTCTGGGAGACCTCTGAATTGGGAACCAGGAGGCCTAATTCCTATCTGCTTTTACTGGCCCTGGTCAGTGAGTAGCACTGGACAAGTCTCTTCAACCCCTGTGACTCCATCTCCCTGTCAATAAAAATGCAACGGCCACCCCAGTAAGAGTTTTAAAATTAAAGGCAAAATGAGATGATGTTTGTATGTGGACTTTGAAGAAAGGCAGCATCCGCCGATGGGAGTGATGGAAAGGACTGAGGAAGAAGGAAACTGCCTATCCAGGACCTGAACCATCTGGTTATATTTCCAGCTGTCAGCCCTGGTCACTGTCCCACCTGGTGGCACTAGGAGTACTGGAGACTCACCTGTGACTAGAATGGAGAAAAAATGGCCCTGAAGGCGGATATCTGACTTCTGGCTTCTGGCACAACACTGGTAGGTCCCACCGTCCGACGGTGTGACTTGGCTTATGGTGAACACCAGCTGAGATGATATTTCACCAACACCATCTATCCCAGGATCCCTTTTAAGTCTCAGCTGTTGCAGACTGGTCTCAGGAGAACAGTTTCCAGACCTGTCCTTGCACAGAAACACTATAAACCCCTCAGCCTCTTCTTTCTTATGCCACACAGTACAGATTAAGTTTAATCTGGCTCCCTCCTGGGAAGCTGAGCTGGTGATGTTCATGCATCCTGGAAGGGAAAGGGAAGAATTACCCAGAGGTCAGGTCGCGTTCTCTGAGTTTCACCATAACTGCCCTTATCACTAGAAATCTTCAAGGAAGGACTGGAGCAGAAGCTGGCAGCCACGCTGGCAGACAGGAAATACAAATTACAGCTCTATCGATGGCCGTGTGACCGTAAGCAAGTTACCTAACTCCTTGGGCAGTAGTTTATTCATCTGGAAAATGAAAATTAAGGGACTAAATAATCTCAAAGTGTCCATTAATTCATAGGTTTCTTTGTTCCTCCACTTAACAAATATGTTTAGGCATTCACTCTGCCAAACCTGCTGGGGCTGTGATGACTAGGACATGAACCCCACCGTCGGACCTTTTTTTTTT